CACACACACACACACACACACACACACAGAAATAAATAAACACATAAAGGGGAAAAACAAGAAGAGAAGAAAAGCGTACATCATCACTATTCATCATATGGCTCAAGAAGTATTCCTATATTCCTTTTCAGTTTATTCTCGTTTTTGGTAAAAAAGGTAAAAGGAAAAGAAAGAAATGTCCATTATTCCTGCAATTTCTTTTCATACATTTAATTATTGTTATTATTTTAAATAACAAGTTCCTGCGCTACTTCCTTCTCTTTGGGTGTCGCCTCATCTTCCTCCTCCTCTCTTCTCAATACATGCGCACTGTTAAAGCTGTTCTCATCGCTAGTTCTATGATCGATTGGATTATATTCCAACTCTTGAAAATCCTCATGATCACATTCTTGCTGTTCTTCCTCCTTCTTTCGCTGCTCCTTTTGCTTCTTTTTCTTTTTCTGCTTTTCCTTTTCCTCTTCTTCCTTCTTCTTTCTTTGTTGTTGTTGTTGTTGTTGTTGTTTTTCTTCTTCTTCTTCCTCTTCTTGATCTGGTTGTACTTCACTTTGTTCTTTTTGCCTCTTCGCTTCCCTTGCGGGATTATTTGTATGTTTTACATGCGGGGAAACACCATAGACCCGCTCCAGTTGGGCCTCCGTTGTATACATATGCTCAACAGTCTCTTTCTTCTGTTGTTGAGATTGAGATCGAGATTGAGATTGTTGAGATTGAGATGGTGGAGGGGTTGGAGTTGGTGGGGTATACCGCACAGTGGTTTCTTTTAACTCTGGAGATCGTGGCCCACCGTGTTTGTATGTCCCTGATAAAATACATGAGTAACTGTAACTTAACTGTGCAGAGGACTCATTTCCACTGTTGCTGTATTCAATGAGTTGTTGTAGACAGCGTTGATATACATCTTGTGGACGTCTCACCGGAGGTCCACGAGGAGCGGGAAGATACGTTTTGGATTTACGAGAGTCTTGCAGTGGAGATCTCTCTTCTTCTTGTTGCTGGAAGGAATCTTCTCTTTCATCACCCGCCGCCGCTGCTGCTGCTGTTGTTGTTGTTTGTGTATCTCGTTTACTGGACTGTAAAGGTACGGTACTCATCGTCGTGAGATGATTTGCCCCACGTGAGATTGGGAACCACCGTTTCCTCTCATCCCCTTCTTTGCCTGTTGTATTGTTGTTATTATTATTATTGTTGTTATTATTATCTCTATTCTCTTGTTCATAACTTGGTCCTTGTTCATCTTTCTTTTCTTCACCTTCTTGTTCAGTTTGCTCTTGTGAGGATGAGGGTTCCTGTTGATTGGGATAGCCTCGCCTTAAATTCCGTGAGGATTTACTTTCCTTTGTGCGTCTCATATCTCCAGCGGATAATATCTGCCGTAGTCTAGCAAGATTGCTATCGCCCTTATAAAGTTCATCATAGTATTTAATAAGGGCAATGTACTCCTCACTCTCACGATTTTGGGGATCCTCCTCACGATCATATGTTTTTCCATCTCCATCTTCCGTGCTTTCCATCATTGAGCTCTCACGTAGTTGTTGTTTTTGCTGTCGACGACGACGACGACGACTGTGATGTTGTTGATCATCATTAGGGTTATTAGTATTAGAATTAGTACTCTGTTTTTGATGATGTCGTCCATGTTTGCGTTTATGATGTCGTTGCTTTCCACTTGTCTCAGGGGCAGCAGCAGCATCATTGTAAACAGCCAAATCCGCCGCAGGAGATGAACTCCTATTTCCATGCTCATTCCTATTATTATTATTAATATTAATATTATTATTATTATTATTATTATTATTATCAGAAACAGGAGCCGCAGCCGCAGCCGCAACAACAGGAGGAGGAGCAGGAGAACGTGTTTTCTCTTTCTTTACTGCTTGTCGCGGTGTATGCTGAGAAGAAGAAGAAGGTTGATTCGGTTGTTGACTGTTATTATTATTGCTATTGTTATTATTGTTGTTATTATTATGATAGTGGTATGGTTTCTTCACATTGGGTAGTGAAGTGCTGCTGGGTGAAGTTCGTGGTTTGGAGGGCATTCTATTTTGCCGGTGTGGGATCCCACTATGGCCACTCCTCTCCTGCGGGGAAGAGGGTTTATTAATGGGTTCAAGTTTGGCGGTTTGTGGAGAGGAAGAAGAGGAATGTTGTTTCTCCTCAACCGTAGGACGTGAACTCACATGCGGGCCAGTTTTTGTAGTCTTTGCAGATGATTCTGTTGTGTTTACTTTTTTACTATTTCTAATTTTGGTTCGTTGTTGTTCTTTTTGTTGCTGTTGTTCTTCCTTTTGTTGTGGTTCTTTTTTACTGCTGTCGTTGCTGGATCCGCTATTAGGACGGGAATCCTGTTTGGTCTTTATTTTACTCATCTCATCTGATTTTTCCCGTGTATGTACATTATCCTCTTCCTTCTGTTCTTCTTCCTTCTTCTCCTCCTTCTGTTCTTCTCGTTCCTCTTTTTCTTCTTTTTGTTTTTCCCCTTCTTGTTCTTTTTCTTGTTGATCGGCCTTCTCATCTGTGCAGGTATGATCTCCAATCTCGCATTGATCATGAGATTTCATACTATCAGACTCTTCTGCATTCTGTAGTTTGTTAGCACCCGTGTTGGGATCTTCATTATCCATAATTGGTGGTTTATCTCCAATCTCATAATGTTCATCCTCTGTTGTATCTACATTATTATTATTATTCTCTGGTGTTTCCGAGAGTTCATCATTCTCTGTTTCTTTTCCCACTGTTGGCATTGAAGGATCACTTGTAGGACTCTCATTGTTGTTGTTGTCATCATTATTATTATTATTATCGGCATCACTATTGATATGATGATCATCATCGTCCAGTTCTTCAACATTCTCCATAGCGGCGACCTCAGTAATTTCTGTTTCGTCTATTTCATGATAGTCGTCATTGTTGTTGTTGTTATCATCATCCAGTTCCAGATTGGCAGGATTGAGTTGCGGGGTTTCTTCCATATCCGCAGACATTACGGACTTCTCACCCTTTTTTTTTTTAATTGATTTTTTCTTTTTTCTTTTTTATTTGTATTCCTTTGTTCTTTACCTAGGAAACGAAATATAAGCGGGGAGGAATACCTTCTTTCTTTTTTTTTTCTCTCTTTACCGCTTCTGGAGAAATAAAAAGAAAAAGAAAGAGAAGAAAAAGAATATATTTTCACAGTTAGTAAAAAAGGATATCCCAATATATATATATATATATATATATATAAACAGCAGCCACTGTAATGTAAAGGGCGATCAGAGAATATGCAATAATATTCCCTTTTCTTTTTTTTTTGTTTGTTCCAAAATGAAGAAACAAATAAACTCACAGCCACCAATCATCGTTAGCATTTTATACAACTATATACCCAATTATATATATATATATATATATATATATATATATAATAACTAGGTATATATGAATGAATGTGGGCGTGTAAACAATTTGCAACAGGTTAAACATACCCGCCGTTGTTGGTATACATTTCGCTGAAAACATAAAAAAAAAGAAAGTGATAAATACATATAAATATAAATAATAATAAATGTGTATATATATGTATATATATTTTCCACTTCTTCCTTTCAGGGAATACAACAAAGAAAACGACAGGACTAATAGGTGTCCTACATACATCTCTTGCAGCAACAGTGATTGACAAAAACCAAAGAAAAGAAAAAATAAATAATAAAAAAAGAAGATCTAACTTTTTTTTTTCTCTTTTTTCTTCTTCTTTTGCTATCCCTGTTGCTGAACAATCGTTATTTCCAGTAGTTTCTTCCATACATTGCCAGTAAAACGAAAAAAGGAAAGAAAAAAAAAAGATATTACCATCTAATACACAGATTCACATTCATATATATATATATATATATATATATATATATATATCAGTACGCCGTATTTATTGAATTCCGTATTTAATTGAATTCAACAACTAAGAGTAACGTCGATGCTCGTCGACGATATCGGCTTCATCCCACGGTCCGAGTGGTGCCTTTTCAATAGCCATTCTTCCTCTCTCATCCATTGCATTCTCCATTACAGCACGACGGGTGTCAGCAGGGCTCTCTCTGGAGATTCCATCATTATCATTATCATCATCCATATCCATCTCTTCATTATTATTACTATTATTATTATTCTCTCCATTACTATTCTTTTTTTCTCTATGAGCCGGTGTGAAAGTAGTAGTGGTTGCCGTAGCAGAGGAGAGATTCGGTGTGGTTGCCTTTTCTTCCACATCATCAAATGTCATTACATCTGGTTTTTCCTGCAGCATTAATAATCCATTTTCATCTTGTTCCACCATCGCAATAGAAGGTTCTCTGGAAATATCTCCAATCGCACGAGTTCCTTGCCGAGAAAGGATTTGTTGTGTGGCCTCATAATAAGTTGTATTCGTAGTGAGTGGTGGATGTGAAATACCAACAGCTGTGATTTCTGTGGGTTTTGCAAGTGGACGTTGTGGGAGAAGTGTTGTTGGTTTGGGGAGTTGTGCCTCCATCCACAGGGCGAGTGCAGTCTCATTCCGTAATTGTAATAACTCCTTTGTGCAGTGATGAATATCTTTACGGGTATTATCTTCCTCATCACTTCGTTCCACTCGCAGGACCGCAAAAGATAAAAGTGTTTCTCCTCCTCCTGCTGTTGCTGTAGTATTAGTATTAATAGTATTAGTAGTAGTGAGTATTGGTTTAACGGCTGCTGTGGCTGCTGTGGCTGCGGCCTTTGTTTCTACCACGACCGTCTCATGATATAATATCCGCAGTTTTGGTAATGCCTCTGCGACTGCCGCTATCACTTCATCTCGCAATTGTGGAAGTCCGAGTAGATTCAACACCTCCAAATTCCCTAATGCTCGTAATTGATGAATGGCCATCTCATCAATGCCATTTCCCGCCTTTTTAAGACTTAACTTGACAAGATTGGGTAAACAGGTAACAATGGCTTGAATACTACTGCGGGTTAACTGAGCCACCCCACCAACATCTAATTCCAATAGTGTTGGTGGAAGTCGTGCCAATTGTGTATCCATCACACCTCTACAACCATGTAGAGAAAGTCGAAGTAAATGTACTTGTTGCTGTAGAAACATTTTTAGTTCCGAAGAGTCAGAAATCACACAATCAATAAACCCAACAGAGAGAAGTTGTGGTACATCATCACCCATTTCATATTGATAAGATGTTGGGAATTGAACTTGTGATCTACTTTCCAAAGATGCCAAACTGCTGTTACTGATAGGAATTCCAGGACTTGTACGTCCAGCTGCAACATGATCACTTGTAGAATTATGTAAAAATACACTTAAAGTCCCACGTCCTACTATAATGCCTTTTAATGTAATCTCCGTTAACTTGGGGGCAAAGAAATCATACAAAACATTTGCATGAGTTAGTGGTATAGGTAAACGTCGAAGTTCAGGGGCATACAATTTAGCAATATACGCTAATGAAGAGAAGAGTACTTCTATATTAGATAATTCCAATCTCTTTATACCAGGACAATTCTCTAATCGAAGTACCTTAAGACGTTTATGTTGACTGATGTAAGTAACACACGCATTAGAGAGTCCCACACTACCGGAGAGATCCAATGTATGGAGTTGTGGACAGACTTCGAGAATATCCCGCACATGCACATCCCGCAGAGCTGTGCAGCCTGTTAAGATCAATACTTCCAATGTGGAAGAGTGAAATCCACGAAAGAGAGTTGTGGGATGTGTAATTGTGCAGCGACTAAGATCCAAACACCGTAGAGTTAATAAAGGAACACGTTCCACCGCTGCAGCCGCAGAGGCTCTTCGAAGTGCCGCCGCCGCATCTGCAAAGGCATCCACAACCATACTAGGTGATTTACTACTATTCGTTCCATTTGCGGATTCTCCCATTTGAGAAATAACAGAAACTCCGGAATTTCCAAATGCGGCTATGGAAGGTGTGGCAGCATCTGCGGCTTCTTTAGCATCCGCAATGGATAATTTTTCCCGTCGTGTGATAAGAGAAAAGAGAGCCAATAAACCTTCATCTGTGAGAACCATCTCTGGTAGGGAGAGGACCTCCACATGAACTTCCATCATTAATGTTTCCGCAAGTTTCTGCATAACGGCATTTTCACTTATTGCAAATACTTCCACTTCACGCACAGAAGGTAATGTACGAATCATATAAAGTAATAAACCAATACTAGAATGCCAACTATCACTACGGAAAGAAAGAAGTCCCACATCATGTACCCAAGACATTGGTACTGGATTATATGTATTCTTCTTACCTTGTGTTAGAGACATTGTTCTCTGCTGTGATGGCTCTCCTTGATGTTGTGATTGTGGTTGTTCCTTGCTGTTGTTGTTGTTGTTGTTGTTATCATTATGAAAATCTGCTGGTGTCATTGACTTTGCTTCAATAATCACACGTTTCAATGCACTTAACTGGGCGTATGTAATGGATGGTTCTACTGCCATCAAACGACCGCCATCATACAAACTGTGCAGTAATTCCATGTGTGGTATTACTTCTGTACGGAAACACTCACAAACATAAGCCGCCATGGCACTTGTCACATCACGAGTATCCGCACGAACAAAGGCTTGTGTATATATATTTGCATTTGTATTTGTATTCGTATTCGCAGCAGCAGCAGCAGCAGCTCCAATCCGTACAGCCGCTGCAGAGTGTGTGGGTCGATGTACACTGGGACACGTACGGCATGGTAATGTATGATCTGTATACATCGTCGTATTATTATTATTATTATTGTTTGTAGTAGCGGTTGGAGTAAAACTGACTTGATGGGCCTGAACAACAGCAGTGGATACTGGTTGAGAGCCTCCCACATCCATTGTGATTGGTGGTATTGGGATTGGACGTATGGGGTATGATGATTGATAATAGGATGATGATGATGAGGGTAATGGTGGTAATCGTGATTGTAGTAGTGATTGTGGTTTTTGTGGACTTTCACGTCTTTCATCTCTTAATTGTCTGTTCTCCCGGCGTAGTTCCTCCACTCGTTGTTGTTGTGTGTGTAATTCTGATGTATTCATATTCAATACATCCCGTAATCGTACAATCTCTGCAATCAACATATTACACTCACTCCTCACACTGTCCAACTGTTCACGGGTCATACATAACTCCGATACGGTATTTTGCAGTTGATCATGCAGAGTGGCACATTCTTCTAACTTTGCACGATATCGTGCGAGGGGAATACCACCAGAGAGGGATGATTGCGAGGAGGTGAATTTTAATAATCGTCGTTGAATATCCGCCGTACCTGTTCCTGTGGTTTCTCTTGTATTCCCTATTCTTGAGTTATTTGTTGTTCCTGTTGTTGGGATGGGTGTTGTGGATGTTTGTTGGAGTTTTTCATTCTTTCCAATTTCTCCTCCTCCTCCTCTTTCTTCTCTTCCTGTTGTTGTTGTGTATTCCTCTTTTCCTTCTCCCGCACGGTGTTGGGAGGATCCGCGGAGAATGCACGGCAGCCGGCGGCAGCTGCTGAAACTGTTGGAGACTCCGCCCAGGCAGCAGAAGGCGCAGGAGTCCAACGCACTCGGGGTGTTTCTCGCGCTGCAGAGATCCTCCACCACAACTACCGCCGCGGCTGCAGTGGCCGCTGTTGTTGTTGTGATCGTCGTATTCGTCGTAGCGACTTCTTCTTCCTTTTCCACCACCACAGCGGCTGCAGTAGTACTCGTAGTAGTTGTTGTAGTATTAGTATTAGTATTAGTAGTATTTCCTGTTGTTGGGATTGGGAGAGGTGTTGAGGGATTGGCGGTGATGGTCTCAGAGTTGCAGAGAGAGGTGGGGCGTGAGGGGCCTACGCCAATGGACGGCATTAGTGATGGTGTTGGTGTTGGTGTTGAGAATAAACAAGAAGAAGATAGAATACACACACTCACACACACAGAGAATGAGAGAATGGGATTCTTTTTTT